TATCAGCTGTTTGGACTCATTCTGACGGCACCCATTCACTGCAGAGCATCCATTGGTGAGACACTGATGCAATGCTACATTTCTACAAATCTGATGAAGAAACAAACTCATCCACATCTTGGATTGTCTGAGAGTGAGGACATTTTCAGCAAATGTTCATTTTTGGGTGAACTATTCCTTTAAATATATATTTTAAGCCAAACCCAAAATCCATTGCAATGAACCAAATGGATAAATTGTGGGAAGTGTTGATTCTAAATGTATTTTATTCAGTACGGAGAAGAATTTTTTTTAAAAGTCACTAGAGCTGAAGGTAGTTACTGGAACAGAGCTTATATGTGACCCTGGAGCACAAAAGCAGTCTTAAATCGCTGGGGTATATTTGTAGAAATAGCCAACAATACATTGTATGAGTCAAAATGATAGATTTTTCTTTTATTCCAAAAATCATTAGGATATTAAGTAAAGATCATGTTCCATGAAGATATTTTGTAAATGTCCTACTGTAAATATATAAAAACTTAATTTTTGATTAGTAATATGCATTGCTAAGAACTTCATTTGAAGAACTTTAAAGATGATTTTCTCAATATTTAGATTTTTCTGCACCCTCAGATTCCAGATTTTCAAATAGTTGTATCTCAGCCAAATATTGTCCTATCCTAACAAACCATACATCAATGGAAAGCTCATTTATTGATGATGTATAAATCTCAATTTCAAAAAAATGACCCTTATGACTGGTTTTGTGCTCCAGGGTCACAGTCTGATTTAGTTGAGGAAGGTAATGTCCTCACCTCGCTGTTGGAGGATCTGCGCAGGGTCCAGGGGATCTGTAGGATGTGCAGCGTCCCGAGACGGTCTGAAACCGCCAGAAGATGCTGCTTGGCTGTGGAGAGAAACGGGAGGCGTTAGCATCTGACCCCTGTGCTTCACGTCAGCAGACGGGTGTCTGTCTTACAGGAGATGCTGCTGGTGCTGATGCAGGTGACGGCGGTGCTGCTGATGTTCTGGCTCTGCGAGGGCTCGTGGCTGTTTTGCAGCAGGTCCCACACCTCGATGCTTCCGTCCTCCTTCCCGATGAAGAAGACCGCCGGCCGGGACAGGGACCAGTGACCCACCGTACGCAGCATCTTGGAGCAGGCCGACATGAGGATTGGGCCGCTCTGCAATGGGGAAAAAAGAAAAACCAGGTGAGACAGAATCATACCGCACATGCTCAACTGTATCTAACTTATTCTCTTATAAGTATGTTTTTAAATTTATTTACAAATAAACACATAAGGTTATGTTTTATAACAGGATCAGTTATAACAGGAAAATAAAAAAAAAGTCAATGACGTAATGAAGGCAAAACGGTTATTAAAAGTGATATAAAAAAGGAGAGAAATTCATATGAATTTGAACCTGGAATATTGATGAAACTAAAATATTTTGATTTATTTTAAATAAAATATTTCATGTTTTTAGTGTGTGTTTTATTTTGATTGTTTTTATTTTAAAAGTATTTTTTTGTATTTGTTTCAAATACAACATCTCATCATCTGTTTTTAGTTTAAGTATTTATTTATTTTTTATTTATTTCAAGTACAATATTTCATATTATTTTATTTTATTTCATTTGATTAATTTTATTTGAAAAAAAAAATCGCTTTTTATTTCATATTTATATTTTCTGTTTTATTTTGATAAGTATTTATTTAATTTTTTTATTTATTTAAAAATATTTCATATTGTTTCATTTAGTTTTTATTTTACAATTATTTTTTAAAATTTATTACGGGGAAAAAACAAATAAAAATAAAATATTTAACCTTTTTATTTATTTATTTTTTTAGTGATTATTTTTTATTTTAGAATAATTTGTTTTCATTTTACATTTTTGTGATGATGACATTTTTTCTTTATATGTATGTATGGGGAAAACAGCTAAATAATTCACTTGTATGGAAACTAAAATGTATTTAACGTAAAAAAATAAAATTGTAAATTCATATACATTTGAACCTAAAATATTGATGATATATTAAAGGGTCTATAAGAAGATTATTGCTAGTAAAATGCTGACTATATAAACAGCTGAATCAGTTCAGCTTTAACAGGTGATTAAAGTGTAACTGTTGTTTATATAGAACACAGGTGTGTTTTTCTTTGATTTCATCTGATTTGAGTTTGAGCGTGTGATCCTGTCGTGACCTCACCGTGACCCCTTCCTTCCAGATGGCGAAGCTGAAGCTGCTGACCGTCAGGATGATGTCCCTGAAGAACGGAGAGCGGCTGACGGTGTTCACCAGAGTGTCGTGTACGAGGAGCCGGTGGATGGGTTTAGTGCCTGACAGAAAACACGCCAAAAACTCAACTTCTGCACGATACATATGTGACCACAAAACCAGTCATAAGGGTCAGTTTTTGAAATTGAGATGTATACAACATCTGAAAGCTGAATAAATAATCTTTCCATTGATGTATGGTTTGTTATGATAGGACAATATTTGGCTGAGATACAACTATTTAAAAATCTGGAATCTGAGGGTGCAAAAAAATCTAAAAGTAAAAGTAAATCTAAAATCTAAAGTTGTCCAAATGAAGTTCTTAGCAACGCATATTACTAATCAAAAATTAAGTTTTGATATATTTACGGTAGGAAATTTACCAAATATCTTCATGGAACATGATCTTTACTTCATATCCTAATGATTTTTGGCATAAAAGAAAAATGGATAATTTTGACCCATACAATGTATCAATCACATTTACACACTGCCTCCGAAACTTTCGTCCATATAAAAATAAAAAATAAAAAAAACGGACCAGGTTCGATTTTCTGAGTTTTCGCATCCATGGCAAGCATTTTGATAGGAAAGAATGACGAATATGAAAAAAAAAACACATATGAAATTTTCATTTTTGTGCAAGGACCTTAAGATCATAATCATATTAACAATAAACCCCATAAGGCAAATGGTAGTTCACCCAAAAATGATCATGTTGATCCAAACCTGTGTGACTTTCTTCTGTAGAACATGAAGTATATTTTGAAGAGCGTTCAGGTCTAAACAGTATTGGACCCCACTGACTTTCACTGTATGGACAAAAACACTGAGACATTTCTTAAAATATCTTCTTTATGTTCCACAGAAGAAAGGATGATTAAATGATTATCCGTTTTGGGTGAATTGTCCCTTCAGTGGAAGCCTACAAAGACAATCCCAGAATGCACTGCGACAAGATCAGTGCAAAAAGTCGATTGAAAATGTTGTTTATTAATATATTTCAATAATGAGATATATTGATAAAAATAGTGCAATCAAATTAAAATTGTGTGTACTGTCAGATTTCCTATTGAAAAGCAAATAAATAATTAAATCATAAAAAAAAAATTTCAAATAATAAAAAAAAATAAAAACATTTTAAAAACTATTTATTTTATTTTTTATTTATTTTAAATGAAATATTTAATATTTGTAGTATTTGATTTAGTACTTATTTTAACTTTAACTTATTTCAGATAAAGTATTTAATATTTTTAGTCATTTTAATTTTGATTAATTATATTTCAAATTATATATAAATTATATATAATTATATTATAATATATAC